ACTGTATAGTCCATGGGGTCGTAAAAAGTCGGACACGACTGAGCGATTTTCACTTACAGACAGAATCAGAGCATTTCAGTTGAACTCTGTAGCTGGTAAGGGGGCTGTGTTGATAATGGTTAAATACGTGTTTTCCGTTATCACTTCCCTTATTTGTAAAGACGGCTTTCTCTGGAGCTTGCCAAGGCAGTAGTAGCAGGACCCAGGAGAAGCAGTGGTCATGCACTTCATTCATCCACCAGAGCTTCCTTTATGATGCTTGACTTCTCTCTGCAGTGTGCACCGTGACCAGCTGGCCCCTCTCAACACTGGTGCTAGATTTTAGAACTGACAATTAAGATGATGTTTTTAGGGAAAGGGTCATCCTAAAAACACCCTCTCTATAGCCACTCAACTACTCTTTGATTACACACAGCTGGAAGGAAAAAAAACACGTTTAATTGTCTCTACAATTATGATTTTTTTAGTAAGTTTATAGTAAATGGGGGAGATTAATAAAGGGCTATTTTATTCGCAGCTTGTGGTTTCTCATTACATCAGTTACAGCTTAGCCTTCCTCTTCACTGGAGTGCAGGCATGGACTGGAAAAGAATGAGCTAATCCTTGATAGATCAGGTGGAATAAAGATCTCTATTCATATCTTTACCTTTTATCCCTTGTTCCGAGTGCCAAGAATTAATGCTGTTTGAAAGTACAAGCTGAACCTGCCAAGCTTCGGACAGCTAAGATAATCCTAATTATTTTAAATGTTAGTGAGAAGGGCAGTAGTTCTACTCTGGAATAGAGTCCTCTTGTGAAACATGAAATGTCTGCTAAGTGGTATTGATTGGACATGATTTTATTTCCAAACACCATGGTTATCATGAAGTGGAAGAATTCGTTGTTGAAGACATTTTCATCAGCTTTTCATCAGACTCTTAGGCCTGCAAACTTGAGGAAACCAAAGAGGCCAGCACTTTTGTTTTTTTTTTCTGTCAGCATCTAGGTGAAGAGTTACTAACAGTTGAAGAATGCCACTTGCATTTTTATTTTTAAAATGGTTTCTTACTGGGAGCTTACTAGTATTTAGCATATAGAGAAAGAACAATTTTTTTTCTCCTCTAGCATGAATATCCTGTTTTTTCACCTCACTGGAAGAGAATTATTCATTCCAGTCCACTGACTCCCAACAGATCATTCAAGTTAAAAGTCAAGGGTCTTTGCAATGTCAAAAGATTTAGCAGTTAGACTGGGTTTTGTTGTAGAGAGGTGGGTTTGGGGGGATAGTCTATAATATGTTCCAAGAAGAATATCTGTGAGTAGATGACATCATGGAAATCATCTGTTTTTTTCCCCTCAGCATTGATGCGAGTGATTATGTGTAAGGTTTGTTTTGAAGTAATAAAGAAAGACCGTTTAGCTTCTGTAGACAAATAGGCTACTTGAGAGAAAACAGATACTGGGCTTGCTGGTTCATACCAGGGTCAGCCTCGGAGGTTTACCCACCTTTCATTGTGGCATGAAAAACTGATCAGATGGGCACTTTGCCCGTTTTCTTACTTTTCAGTCTCTGCTTTGGCCTCCAGAAGTTGTTTCTTCCATTTCTGTAAATGCTGGGAACCCACTGATGATTACAGAGTAGTGCAATCCTGATTTGTCTATTGCTTGTGAGAGCTTCCTGCTCCCATCCCCACCCCCATCCCCACCCCCAAAGCAAAGCACTCCCATCTTCACTCATGCAAATAGTGGTGTGTTGAGCATCTCCAGCAAATTATTTCTTTCTTTGGGTTTATTCCCCAGAGTGGAATTACCAGGTCAGAGGGTATGAACAGTTTTACGGTTCTTATTACATGTCACTAGATTGCTGTCCAGAAAGATTGAACCAATTTCTAGTGCTACCAACCGCATACCTTTCCCCACAGTCACATGGACACTAGGCATTAGCATTTTTCTTTTAAATTGAAATTAGCCATCTTTAGGGCTCATTAGAATCAACACACAAAAAGGAGAATTTTGGCTTTTTAATTTTTAATTGGTATAAAATGATTAAAATGATCAATTGTTCTTTGCCCCAGTGAAGTTAATGAAGTGGCATTTAAATGAAGAGGGTACCTGAGGGACTATATTTAAGGGTGATAGTAAAATAAATTTTGGACATTAGTCACTAAGGTAAATACTTAATAAGTCTTTGATGCACTTGGAACTACTCTTATGAAGTGCTATACAAAATGAGTTAAACAGATACTGTCCTTAACTTCAACATTGAAAGACAGTGCTAAGCCTTTCAACAAAAGTAAAATGAACATGGATTTAAAGTTTGAGAGGAGAAAAGCTTTAAAAATATAGACATTTCCCAAAACAGGTTGAGTTCATTTATTTACATCTTCTCTGGAGTGCAGTCATGCATTAAGTAGGCTTGGTGCCTCCCTGGTCTATACAGGTGACACATTCTGCACAGGTTCACAACCCAGGTCAGAGGACTACTTTCCAAGAAAATATCCACAAAGCAAGTGAGAGCAAAAGGGCGGTGGGGGGGCTATCTTCAAATCCCTTTCTTTTGCAGAATTCCCGCCCTTCCCTTTTCCAGTCCCAAGTCGGCTGAATTGGGGAGTCAGGGTGTGGGAGGCATCCCTAGGTGAGCTGTTGTTACCTGTAGGGGAAGGCAATCGCAGGGCTCAGAACTTACCTGGAGAACGCTCACCTGTTTTTTTATAGCCTCTGAATTAAGTTGACAAGGGTCACTTATTTTGCCTCCTCAAATTCACACAGACATTAGGAAGTTTCAGTGGCCACTGACTAAACATGGCACCCAAGCGTGGGCTAGTGCATGGATGAGAACAAGCCAGAAGGTGGGGCTGGCCAGTGTTGCGCTGCCCAGGGCAGCTTCCACAGGGGCCCCTTTGTAAAATGGCAGACTAATTCTCTCAGTGGATGGTTTGAGGGTTAAATTTACATACTCATTGAAGTAGGTGACACACAAGAAGTAGTCAGAAAACATTCATTCCCTTCCCCATCTCTTATATACAGAGGGCCTTCTGTTCCTGGCTTGAGGTGAGGATGGGGGTGGGCAGGTTAAACTCACAGACTCTGCTTGGCCCTTAGCTGGCTCTCCAGGGCTGGGTGTAGTGACAGGATGTCAGAGCAAAGTCTGCTGTCTGTAGATACAGCATCCTTGGGCATGTAACACAATTCAGAGATTATCTTGGATTTGCACGGAAATTTAAATCCATATAAAAGTTCAAATTTAGTAAGAAGCCTTTATGAATAGCAAAACAAGAATTTGAAAGCTTCAGGTTTCCTAAGTTCCAAGTTCTTTTGGTTGCTATTATATATTTATACATGCATGTGGACACGTTTGTGGACATCTGTAAAGTACTCCTTAACAATCAATGCTTTCTTAAAAAAAACCTTACAGATTCATACCCTTGCTTTTTATTTAACTTACTAAATCTGAACAAATAACTCTCATTATCAAAAGTAAATTGCTTGTCAGGAAGTTACCTACTTTGTTTTTCGAATTTATTAACTCATTAAGTTTTCAGATCATTTGTTTTGTAACTGGGTATTGACGTAACTATCCCAAACTATCCATCTGTCTGTCTGTCCATATGTCACATTAGAAGAATGGGACTTTCTGAAATAATTTGGTCCAGTGCAGTGGTTAAAGATCTGCTTCTTAAAAAATCCCAGCTCTGTTCTTTTATTTCTGTGTGGTTCCACTAGCTGCAGCAAACCTTCTCCAGACCCATAACAAGCATAAATAGTGTTCTCTTGTAAAAAGGTCTCTTTTCAGCATGGTAATATACCTTATTAAATTCCAAACATAATAAGTATTGATGGCAAACACATCAGGACCCAGTACAGCTTCTACTATGATTTAGTTCTCTACAA